GAGGTACAAGACGTTGCACACTGCAAGGACAGCAGAGAGCTCGGCTCAGCACAGGGCCAGCATCACGCCGGCGTCTCGCTGCGCTGAGCATGTGCAGCGCCGAGCGCAGCGGGGCCGGGTGCGGGGCCGGGTCCCAGGCATCATCCTGCAGAACTGGACATGTGTACGTGGGTCAGATTTGTTTTGATGAAAATTAAAGATTTGGTGACTCAGAAATTCTTCACAAATTTATTTTGGTTAACTTTAATTCTTTGCATTAATTGTTTTAAAAGTCAGAGTATTTAATTTCCGGTTTCTAAATGTCAGATTTGGAATTTTTTTCTGTTTATTACATATTTCCTTTAATGAAAAGCAGAAATACCCCAAGTCAACTAATGGCTGAAGGCCAACCTAAAACATGACATTTCAGGCTGATTGAGCTGTTTAAAGGGCTGTTCTGGGTCAAACTAAACTTTTCAGCTTGCCAACTTATTTTTCAGAATTTCCAGCAAAACAAAGCGGTTCCCGACTCCCCTGACTGCGCCGTCACCCATCCGCGCGGCCTCCTGCCCATCGATCTCTGCTCTCACCTGCAGCCCACCCACCGCTGCATCCAGGCTGGGGGCACCTGGGCACGGAAGAAAAGCAAAGACCCTTCCCCGTCCTGCTGTGCAGTTTCCATGCGTCTCCCATAAGGTCCCTCAGCAATTTAACCAGCCCCTGGCTGGTCCCTCTCCTAGAAACTCCAGATGTTCCATGCCCATCAGTTCAATACCCTGCTTGAGGGCAATCAGCAGAGAGGCTTAAAAATCAGGGGCTATTTACAACTGTGGGAATTGTGGGTCTTTTATCAGCCTTGGGACCTCAAGAACTGTCTTTTCAAACTTTACTTCACTATCATGGGGGCCAAAAGTCTCCTTTCTTTAAAAATACCAGGTTCCCTTGCAGGCCCATGGTCTGAGAATGTGAAGAAAACCCGCAGGTGTCTCCAACCTGCTGATAAAGCCAGCGGGGGACATTGCACCGGCACCCACAGATGCACTGGGGTGACCTGCTGTTCTGCACAGGTCCAAAGACAGCACTGGCCTTTCAGCTTCTGCTGTGCGTGGTGTCAGAATGGAGGACATAAAAAACCAGAGCCCTGTGGTTGATACATAAGGACTAAAGCCCAAGCATGGGTGCATGCCCAGAGCTCTAGCTACTGGAAACTCTGACGGTCCCCTGGTGACAGCTCCTTTCCTCACCAGCAGTTTTCTTCAGCAGGGATAGTGCGGACTCGGGAGCGCAGTCAGGGCTCTCTTCTCCATCAGCCAGATCTGCACAAACGACAGAGGAGCACTCATGTCCACAGGTCAGGCTGCTCTGGGTCACCACTTTGCATTGGGTGAAATTCCTTATCTCACAAGAGGCCCAAAGGCCCAGGACCGCTTAAATTGCAGCGATTTAGAGCAGTAATTAAATTGTCCTCCATCTGCCTCTCCTGGCTCCGTTCATCTCTGATCTCCCCACTCCTCCTTTCCTTGCCCACCCTCAGTGGTCCGCTGCTCCCCGCTGCTTTGCTGACCACCCTCCATCCCCAGCAGAAGCAGGTCACCACCGTCTCGTACTCAAGTCAGGTCTTGCAGGTCCCTGCTCCCCCTACAGCCAGGGCAATCAGCCCCATTGCGGGGGCACCCGGGCGGCTCAGCCCCCTCCCCACTGCAGGACCGTCCCCATCTCCCCAACCCTCGGAGCATCCCTCCTGCGCCGACACCTACCTCGGGTGGGGATGCTCAGCTTGCAGGGCAGTGCCAGCGGGGTGATGGCGTGCTGATACACGAAGGCAGAGAGGCTCCCTGCAACACAGAACTGCGCGTCAGGGGGGCCCTGGTGCCTGAAACCTCCCACCCACGCGCCTCTGGCCCCTCAACAGTGTCCCAGGGACCTCAGAAGAAGGGAAGAGGGGGCTAAGCTGGACTATTTGGGGCCTCACAGTGACAAAAGTGGGTTTTCGAGCCCCCACCCCATGTTCTGGTTTTGGAGACTACCACCACAGAAGCGCAGGCAGGAGCCAGGGGCTGGCGGGCCCCCACATCAAGACACTCGCTGCAGGGCTGTGGAGCAGCCCTGGTCCCGGCTGGTGCTTCGAGGGGCTTTTGGAAAGAGCTCCTGGGGCTGCCAGGGCTGCTGCGGGTGACGGCACCATCCTTACCGAAATACAGCTCCTCGCTGGCTCCTTTCAAGTGCACCCCTTTGGCAGACGACTCGATGAGGAAGTGCCGGACGAGGTCACTGCTCTCATCGCCTGCAAGCGGGATGGAAGACAGCATCAGCACCGGCACAACTGCCGTTGTTTCGCCCCTGCCCTCCCCTGCTCCCCTCGAGACCCGTCCCAGGGCACCCACCGGAGCTTCTGCTCTGCGTGGCGAGCGCGGTGCCAGCCCCCACGCGTGGGGATGGGCACGCACAGACCCCGCTGCCAGTGTCACTCGCACAACCAGAGTCCCGCGGCTTCTCAGCTTGCTTTAGTTTGACCGGTTTCTGTTAAATCCCTGAAGCAAACCCCACCTTTCTGAGCGAGTGCCTGTACCTGTCTGGCTGCTGGATGGAGAGACGGGAACCTTCATCGCCAGTCCGAAAGACCCCCGGTACGACGTGCTGTCCCGCACAATGAACGTGCCTGGCTCCTTGTCCTTCAGCAGCTGGATTGCTGTCAAAGCACAGGCAGAGGCTCAGCCAAGCAAAACAGGTGGAACCTCCCTGCGCCGTGTTTCGCGTCCGGCTGATGCTCTCGCGGGGAGTCGTTCCTTGCCAGCAGCGAGAAATACTCAGGAGCGTTTGCTGAGGACGCGCACGTCCCTCGTGCAGGTACCGCCTGCAGTGCCCCGGCAGTGAGGGGCCCCGGCTCGGTGCTGCGGGTCTGTGGTCCCCAGCCAGCCCCTGCCCAGGCCATGCTGAGTAGCAGCACAGTCAGAGGCAGGAGAAGCTTTTCTGACCCGAGGCGGGGACAGAGGGGCTGTGGCACAGCCCGTGTTTCTGAGCCTTCCCCCTAGACCAGTGAGTGGGTCTCTCCATGCCCATCAACCCCCAGTATACTTTGAATTGCCATCCCCGAGACCTCAGCACAGGCAAGAGCTGGACTGAGGTGCTGCGGGGAGGCAAACTCCAGCCTGGGGAACAGGCAGCAGTCCTGCAGACCCACAGAGAGCAGGGCTGAGATGGCGTTATCCCAGCAGACACTTACTGCCTTACCTTGGTCCCTGGTTATGCTCGGCTTGAACCAGTATTTTGATGTGTCCATCACAAACTTCATGGTCGGCTGCCCAGCCCGGAGGGGACCTGCAAGAGACCTTACGGCGTCAAGGCCAGCGTGGGACCTGGAAGACCTTCACAGCAGACACCACTGACCAGGACAGAGCCCTAGCAAAGATATTTCTCTTCCAGGCTGGCCAGAGTTGAAGTGTTTTTTCAATCCTTTTGACCAGAGCTTCCTCCCTACTCCTCAGAATAATTAATTCTCCATGTAATTATCTCTCTTGGCAGGCTGCGATGAAGCGCAGAGAGGCAGCACGTGGAATCCCCCAGCAGTGCCAGTCTGCCCAACCCTGCACAAGTCCACTGGACCATGGGGATTCACACCAGCTGAGGATCTGACCTGCAAAGCCCTCCTGCTATTCCCATAAGAATCCCAATTAAAACCCTCTGCCCCGAGAGCTGTCTCTGCTAATCTCCTCCAGAGAACAACAGCCCTATTGTTTACCCTTGAATGAGGGACCTTATAAACTCCGGTATCTTTAGGTGTCCTCCAGAGCAAACTGGAACCCTAACCCCTCCTCCCCACCCGTTCTGGGCCCACAAACAAGTATGAAATGACAGAATTATGGTTCTCATTCTCAGGTGCTAGAAATACGTTTATCTGCATCTCCTTGAGGGGACCAGAGCGTTTCTGCCTGCTGAGCACGTGCCCCAGGACCCTGGCGGGCAAAACACGGCTGATGCAGGGTCATCGGCGAAGAGCTGGAGACCACCGCAGGGCCCTGCAACCCTGGGGAGATACGTGGAGGATCTCTAGCTCCAGCAAGGACCTCCTGTCTTTCATGTCTATAAGCCACAGAAACAGAGGGAGGTGACTTACTGTCCGAGACGCAGGAGAGCGCTGGTGCCGACAGCGCGTTGTTCAGGCCACCGAGCCTCAGGGCCGGGCTGCAGCTGGGAGGGGGGCTCTGCTTGACAGAGACTGGGGCGGCTTTGGCCAGCCTGGAAGATGCATCTCCTTGTTCCAGGCACCCGTTCACCAGCAGCACCGGGATGTCGGCTGCGGAGTTGAGGATGGAGGGGGGGCAGCTGCTGGCCTGTCCCTTCTGGGTCGGGGAGGTGTTGGCTTTGGTGGAGCAGGCTGCCCTGGGCTGGTGGGGACTCAGGCCAAAAGCTTCTCCAGAGCGAGATCTGATGCTCGGGGAAGGTGGGCAGGGGCTGCCCAGGGAGCTGGCAGGGGATGGGCAGTCAGCGGAGCGGCAGGCAGCAGGGGGAGCATCCGAGTCGTCGTTGTGGAGCGAGTGGGTGCTGCTGCAAGAGGGAGACAGAGAGCAGAAGGAGACCGGTGGGGTTGTTTAGCCAGGATGGGATGCACAGCCCACCCCAGAGACCGTGTCAGCCCTGTGGGGCATTGACTCCCAGCCTGAGGAAGGAGATCTTGGACAACGGGACTTGGGGAAACCGCCCTGTGCCCCTTCCATTCCCATCACCAGCCCGAAACCGGGACACAAGGCGGCATTTACCTTCCAAGGATATAGCTGGTGTCTGAGCCGGGGCTCGTGGAGAGCAGGGAGACCCAGCTGCTCCTCTGCTGGGCCCTCACCGCGTGCACGGGCTTCAGCAAATTGTCGAAGCCCGGGGAGGTGCCGAGAGCCCTGGGGCCGTAGGAGATGCTGTCTGTCTGGCCAGCCGCGCACTGCCGGGGGACGGCGATGCACTCAGACACTTTGCTGCAGGTCGGGGAAGCAGCGCAGCTCAGGGCG